CAATAGCAAAGAGTTGGAAACAACCCAAATGTCCATCAGCAAACGAATTGGTAGAGAATCTGTGGTATATTCACACAATGGAATACTACGCTGCACTGAAAAACAAGGAACTCATGAAATATTATTCAAAATGGGTGACCCTGGAGGACTTTATGCTGAGTGAAATATCTCAGTCACAAAAAGACAAATATTGCGGCCACTATTGTAAAATGGGACTGCCATCAGGGTTGAGGGAAGACTGAGTAAGATGGGATAAATTATGTATATTGCATTGAAACAGATGAGGGAGAGAACTGTTTAAAAGGGATATGTGATTAGGAATTATTGTCATGATAGGAGTCTAGAATGAAGGTTGCACAGTGGAGTGGACTTGGGGAAAGGGATTGTATAACAATAAAATAATTTTTCTTTTACTTTTCGAAGAGAAGAGCTAATTAGGTGGGGCAGGGAAAAAAAGTGCAACAATGAATGAATGGAAACTCTAAGTCTCTGCAAAATTTCATTAAAATTAATTTTTGAAAAAAGAAAGTGCCCTTGTCCCACCATGGCCTTCACTGGTCCTCAGGTGGCCAGGCTACTCACCAAAGTTGCTCTCACCCTGAGACAGAGACTCCTGTTTCCCCGGAAGATCCGCAAGGGCCCACCAGGAACCGGTCCCCACCTGGGCCTGGCCTCATGTCCCTGGGTTTACACTGCTATGCCCAATCCCCTGTCCCCATGCTCCCACCCCACCTTTCAGCACTACTGCCGTAGAATGTTCTAGAACCAGAGATCAGTGGGCTATGGATGGAGAGCCAAAGCCAACAGACACTTCTTGGAGCCTTGGGGCCTCCGGGTCACAACTGAAAGCACCTCAATTTACAGAGGAAAATGGAGACCCACTCCTCTCTGGGAGGGGTTTGTCCTAGCTCCAGGGGCTGGGAGACTGCCTGCAAGACCAGGCCCTGTCCTCTCCAGACTGCCCTGGCCAGGCCCTGGGTAGAGTGGGCTTCCCTTTTCTTCACCTGACAATCTCCCATGCCTCGTGTTGTTGCCCATGGCCATGTGCTGGGAGACCGGAGACCACTGACCCACAACAGAAGTGCCTCACCTTCCCTCTTCTCCCTGAGTCCCCCTCCCTCCCATGTCATCTCCTTTGCTGACCTCACCCTCCCGTCCTTCAGTAGGTCAGTGTGTGTGGATGTGCACGTGAGGGAACATGAGAATCCAAGAGCAAGTAGACCCCTCACATCTCAGGGCCTGCTGTTCCTAGAGCAACCTCCAGGCGAAGGCCAAGCACAGCCCCAATCTACAGCCTCCTTGAACCCCCATGGATGCCAAAAAAACAAATGGAGCTGGAGGAGGGCAACCAGGGTGCCCCTTGGAGGCCAGGATGTTGAAACTCCATCTCACACACTCCGGGCGTGTTGTCAGGAGGGCCCAGTCCTTGGAAAGAGACATCATGCAGGAAAGGTCAGAGAAAGAGAGGAAGCCCTCAACAAGACAGACTGACAGGCGCTGTACCATGGGCTGGAGCGTAGAGGACACTGAGAGTGAGAGGGTCAGACAGGGTGTCCATCTGCTGTGCACAGATCACTGTGAATGGATTCAGCTCACTCCCCACCCTCTGGTGTTTCCTCAGCTAAACACAGAAGCACCACGTGGCATTGATGGGGACACCATCCAGCGTGGTAACTCAAGGTGCCGGCCTCCACCTCTTCCAGACAATTCATTGTAACATTTACCGTTAATTTCACCATAGGATAATGTGTGACAAACACAGCCTTAAATTGTTTAAATGTACTTATTCTTAGATTATATGAATACTAACAATAAAATTGTTCTAAAGTCTTTTACATTAAGCTATGTCATTTTTCATTTTAGCAGAAGTGGTTTTTTATTTTCTCCCTTCTTTTCCTTTCATTATAACTTCATTCTCAAAACAGTTACTGCTACAGGCTTAAAAATACTACCTACTACACAGTTACGGCTGGATGTTAGAGAACTTGACAAAATGGATGATTACAAAGCACAGGTGGCAGCGAGCAAACCAGAGTGGGTGCTGGGAGCCCCTGCCCACGATCCCTGGCTGCCTCCCGTGCACCAGCTGGTTCAAAGGTAACGAGAGGCCAGGGTTCATCTTCCGGAGCCTGGGTGATGTCTCCCCCGCAGAAGCTGGCTGACACAGCACACTGGTACACCTCACTAGAAGAATATTTTTGTTAAAGGAACAACTTCTGCTGGAACACTGCATGACACTTTCATAGACATTCCTTTTGATGTCATGCCTTCTAACAGCTTCACCCCGTGTGGTCTTCGTCTCCTGAAGTCCTCTCGTAACACCACTGCCATGGGAGCTGGCCTTCACACCCTGAATATGTGCTCACTTCCTGCCACCATGGCGCCTGACACGAGACCTCTCAGCAGGCTGTTGAGACCATAAATCTTTACAGGAGGAAACTATCCATCTTTCTCCTGAGGGGAAGCTGCTGGATTTGAACCACCAGCCTTTCAATCGGCAGCCCAACTCATAACGCACCACTCCACCAGTGCTGTTTCCACAGATACCCAAGGAGCGGGAAGCAGGTGCTTCATACCAGTGTTCACTGCAGCGTCGTCCAGACCTGCCACAGGGTGGCGCCAAGCCACACAGCCCAGAGCAGGCGGTCAGCTTGGGGACTGAGCCCTCTCCCAGTGAACTCAGCCCAGTGGAGCCCTGCCTCCTGCCACAGGGAAGGACCCCGAAACCAGAGGCGGGGAGGACAAGTCAGGCAAAAGAGAGCAAACACTGTCTGATCCTGTTTACAGGACATGTCAACATCAGGCAAATGCACACAAAGAACATTTGCACTAGTAGCCACGGGGGTTCTTGTGGCATGGTCTGCTATGCTATGGTTTCTGTATGGTTGTTTCACGATATTCTTCTGAGTCCGTCAATTCCTTTTAGTACAGCGATTGTATACGCTTATACTCTTTCCATCTTCTTCCCCCTCCCACCTCATTTTGTGTTTGGTTTTTGGTGTACCATCACATCAGATCCAACTGGCACAGGAGGAGATTGCCTGTCCTTCTCCAGTGGAGCATCTGGTGGATTTGAACTGCGTGCCTTCAGGATTGCAGTGCAGCTTCTTGCCACTAGGCCACCAGAGCTACCCTTCCATCTTCTTTTAATGTTTCCTGATCGTTTCATATTCTACCCAAAGCATCCTTAAGTATTGCAACTCGAGGCTTTAATTTGCTCTTCAGTTTCTTCAGCCTAAGAAATGCTGAATGAGTTAGGCCCCTTTGATTTTCTGATTCCAGCTCTTTGCACATTTCATTATAATACTTTGTCTTTCCACTCTGCCCTTTGAAATCTTCTGTTCAGTTACTTAATTTATTGCTTTCTTTCCTTTACTTTGACTTTTCGGCACTTTAGTGCAATATTCAAAGTCTCTTCTGACATCTATCTCAGTCTTTTCTTCTTCCTCTGACTTCGTAATGACCCACATCAACAGAGAACTGCCAGATGTACAGGCTGGGTTTAGAAGAGGCCATGGTACTAAGCTATTATAGCTAATGTTAGATGGATCTTGGCTGAAAGCAGAGACTACCAGAGGAATGTCTATCTGTATTTCATGATAGTTTGTTGCTGTTGTGAGATGCTGTCGAGTCGAGCACGACTCAGCGACCCTATGAACAAAAAATCTTGCACCATCTTCACACTTCCTGACACACAAGAGCCTACTGGGCCAGAAGGCAGTCATCAGATCAGATCAAGGAAACATTGCATGGTTCAAAATCAGGAATGGTGTACACCAGGGATGTGTTCTAGCTCTGTGTTTTCAGACTATATGTAGAACAGATTATCCAGGAGGCTGGGCTGTGCTTGCTGCAGAAGGTCAAGGACTGCGGCCTTAAATATGGATTGAGGCTCAACATCAAGAAAACAAAGATTCTCACCATTGAGCCAATTGGCAGCATCATGATAGATGGTGAAGAGATAGAGATTGTTAACAGCTTCAGTTTGTTTGGTTCCACAATCAACCTTCTTGGTACTAGCAGCCAGGAAATTAAAAGGCTAATTGCACTGAGAAAGTCTGCCATCAGCGACCTTTCTAGAGCACTGCTGAGCAACAATGTCAGTCTGGAGACTAAGATGTGCCTGATCCAGGCCATAGTCTTTGCAATTACTTGCTTCTGGACAATGACTAGGGATGATAGAAGGATAATTGACACCTTTGAGCTGTGGTGCTGGAGAAGAGTACTGAATATACCATGGACTGCTAGAACAAACAGGTTCATCCTAGACAGGGTGAGACCAGGCTGCTCCCTGGAAGCAAGGATTTTGAAGCTTCATCTGACATACTTTGGATATGTTGCAAGGAGGGACCAGTACTTGGAGAGGGATGTCATACTTGGGAGGGTGGAAGGACAGGGCAGAAGACCTTCAATGAGATGGATTGATTCAATGATTGTCATAATGGGGGTAGGTGTGTCAGAGACCATGAGATTGGCACAGGATACAGTAGGGTTTAGGACTGCTGTACATAAGGTTGCTGTGAGTCGCAGGTGACTCAATGGCAAATAACAACAAACCTGGATACTTGGGACACCTGAGAATACCTGGGATACCTGAGGACACCTGAAGATATCTGGATACCTGTAATGCCTGAGGACACTTGGTCCCTGAGAAAGGTGATGAGACCTGGGTTCAGATCCAGGGTGCAGTGCCCCTGACCCATAGCTGTGCCCCTTGCTCACAGCACCCACTACCTTGCCTTTCAGACCACCCTTCTCCAGTCCATCCCACTGGGGGCCCTGAACCAGACCCTGCCTGGGGGAGACTGAGGAGCCTCTGTGTCAGGGTCAATCTCAGGCTAGTACCAAACACTCAGTGTTCCCCCAGGGCTCGCAGTCCCACCCACACTGACCTGCACAGCCTGCTGCGCACCTGGGCGGCCCCTGGGCCAGGGAGGGCGGGGCGGCCAGAGAGCCTTAAAGAGCACAGTCCCCACCCTGTGCCAGCAGCTCAGCCTCAGCCGCCAGCCATGGCCGAGACCTCTAAGCTGCAGCTGTTTGTCAAGGTGCCTGTGGGCTGGGCTGGGGGACCCAGGTGTGGGAAGGGGTCAGAGACTTCGGGGAGGAGGGTCTCCAAGACAGTGTCTGCCCCTTCTGACTCCAGAAAGTGGAGGGAGTAAAAGAAGGGACAGATAGCCCTTTGGGGCGGTGGTAGCAGGCTGGGGAGAAGTATCCCTGGGAGCCTCCTACTTGCCACCTGGTTCTGGTCCAACTCTGGAGGGGAGGTATCAGGCAGCTGGGGCCTAGAGAGCGTAGGGTGCAGACTCGGCCAGGGAGGCAGGCACCCAGTCTCCAGGTCTGTCTGGGGGTGCTAGTCTCCGCACCTCCCCACAGAGGGCGCAGAGGATGTTAGTGTGGGGCAGTGGTAGTGCCAGCTCTGTGGCTGAATCTCTGAAAACAGCCACCAGCCTACTGCGCCCTGCAGATCAGTAGGCTGTACCAGGCCAGGGTAGGGGGTTGCTGAGCTCTGCCAGGCTCCTCAAATAAGGGTCTAGACGCCGTGGCAGCAGTGCACCCTGTCCACCCTGAGTGCCTTTGCCTGCCTTGCTGCGCCTGCCTGACCAGCCTGGCCTGACACTGTTCCCACCTGCCTGTTGCCCTCACCCCCACCCCCAGGCGAGCGAGGATGGGGAGAGCGTGGGCCACTGTCCTTCCTGCCAGCGCCTCTTCATGGTCCTGCTCCTCAAGGGCGTGCCTTTTACACTGACCACGGTGGATGTGCGGAGGTGAGCCGGCCAGCCCCCACAACGCCTCTCCTCCTCAGGCCTCTCAATCAAGCCCACTCCCCTCCTGTGCACAGGTGCCCGGATGTGCTAAAGGACTTCGCCCCTGGCTCGCAGCTGCCCATCCTGCTCTATGATGGCGATGCCAAGACGGACACGCTGCAGATTGAAGAGTTTCTGGAGGAAACCCTGGGACCCCCCGAGTGAGAATCGGGGTGGGCGGTGCTAGGCCCCAGAGGGAAACATCTCAGAACCAAGCTGTGGGGGTCGAGCAAGGGTCCCCGTTTGCTCTGCCCCAGCTTCCCCAGCCTGGCACCACGCTACCGGGAGTCTCCCACCGCCGGGAATGACGTCTTCCACAAGTTCTCAGCGTTCATAAAGAACCCTATACCGGCGCAGGACGACGGTGAGCCGGCTGGGAGCTGGCGGGTGGGGAGGGGCACCCAGGCCAGGTCCTCACAGCCCCACTCGCCCAGCCCTGTACCAGCAGCTGCTGCGCGCACTGCTCCGGCTGGACGGCTACCTGCGTGCGCCCTTGGACCACGAGCTGCAGCGAGAACCGCAGCTGCGTGAGTCACGCAGACGCTTCTTGGACGGCGATCAGCTCACGCTGCCTGACTGTGGGCTGCTGCCCAAGCTGCACATAGTGGACGTGAGCGCAGGGGCCTGGGGGTCGGGGCTCTTGGGGCGTGAGATCCCGGGGCAAGGGTCTGACTCCAGTCCTGCTCTTAGACGGTGTGTGCGCACTTCCGCCAGGCGCCCATCCCCAGAGAGCTGCGGGGCGTCCGCCGCTACCTGGACTGCGCACTGCAGGCAAAGGAGTTCAAGTACACATGTCCACACAGTGAGGAGATCCTGTCAGCCTACCGAGCGGCCGTGCGGCCCCGCTAGCCTCTGTCTTCCTGCGTGCGGGCCTCTCCCTCTGCTCCCTTGCTTACAGCCCTATAAAGTTCCTGGGCTCCAAGTGCATGTGTTCTGACGCATGATCTATGCAGCCACCCCAAAGCCCCTTGTGGGCACACAACACCAGAAGAACCAAACAGACCAGCTGGGGCTGGGAGGCCTAGGATAGTGACAGGGCTCCTGCATACAGGTTTGGGTTCCCAAACCAGTTAAGCCAGGGTGGGGCGGCAGAATGACTGCGGAGGGTGGGGTGCTAGAGTGAAGTCCTGGGCAGCCTGAGGTGCGCAGCCAGGAAGGTGAAGCTGGCCACATTATTCCACCCTTCCCAGGCCTGCACCTCCACCCTGCTGATCTCAGTCTGACAGGTCCTGTGGTGCATGGGATGGGGCCCCTGGGGGGCTCTGGAGCAGCAGCATGGATTGGACAGGAGGGTGGGCCGGGTGGGGATAAGCAACCGCTTTTCTGGGGGGCTCCAGAGTTTCCTGGAACTGGGTGGAGAGGCGGGAGAGCTGGGTAGGTCCAGACCTCACAGCCTGCTCCAGCGAGCACCAAGCAGTAACAAGTTAGAACCCTGACACAATTTGCTTATCTTCTGCCACAGGCCAGCCCCCCAAGAGTGAGCCGGGCCCCTGCACCTGCACACCTGCACACTTGTGCAAAGGCTCTCATCATTTATTTGGTGACAAGGGACCTGAGGCGCAGTCTGCTGGGCCAGCAGCAGGAGGGTAGAGATGGAATCTTTGATGGCTGTGCCTTTCCTTGAGGCAGATTCCTGGTCAAGTCCACTTTTGCTAGACCTTCAGGTGTCCTCAAAGTCCACACCACTGGCAGGCTTCTTACTGGGAACGGGACAGGCAGAGCCATGATAGGGGGTTGACCTAGGTGAGGTGGGGCAGAGGGAATGCAGGTGGGCAGGTACCTCTTGAAGCCAGGGTTGACCAGGGACTCCCCAGGGCAGCGTCTTCTGACCCCAGGCCCAGGGCCGCCCCTCTGAGGATCTTGATCTGGGGAAGACATGGAGGGAGACTCAACTCTCAGCACCACCTGAGCTGGCCTTGTCCAGAAAAGCCAAGTCCTGGGCTAGGCTGAAGAGAGCTGGCTGTACCTGGTAGAAAGAGCTGGGGCCTCACTTGCCAGGGCTTCTTCCTGGGGCTGGCACTCATCTCCCCCGCAGCTGGAGAAGGAAGTCTGTGAGCACACAGCCAGCTGGTGGCAGGAATGGCATGGGCAGGGCACACTAAAAGAGCATGGGACCACCTCCCATACCTGTCAACTGCTCCTCCAACCAACACACTCGCTTGGCAAGGCCTAGCATCAGTGCCTGCAAACGGGGCCCGGCATCTGGGCCTGGCAACTTTAAGAGGTCAAAGGTCAGGGTAGAGGAGCCCACAGAAAATGTCAGGGATATGATATCCTCCTGGAGAGCGAAGGTCACACTTTGCTGCTCACAGGCTGCCCTAGGGAAGGAGGGGTCTGGGTACTGAGAGGGCTCTCCTCCCTGTCCAATCCCCTATCCACACGATGCACCACCCTGTCTTTCCTCATCCACTCCCCTCCCCACCCCCACTGCTCATCCTCCTGTCCATCCACTTTCCTGTCCACCCTCTGGCCCATCCCCTGTCCACCCCTAGTCTACCTTCTCGTTCACCCTCTGTCTACCCTGTCCCTACTCACTCACCTGAACCGCACGCTGATGTCCTCCGTTTCCCCCAGCCCGAAGCGAGCCCTCTGCGGGCACAGAACCTCGTCACCTACTGCCTGGGACACTCCACGCCTGCTGGACCCAGAACCTTCTGGACCCTCCAGCGCCTGGAGAACTGCTCTGGCTGGGCTTGGCCCGCACCCTTGCCAATACTCCGACTTTCCAGGAACCCCAGACCAATCCTAGGGCTGCTGCGCCCTGGGGGCTCCCTCGAGCGCCCACGGGGCCCCCCCTCGAGCGTCCCCGGGGACCCCGTACTCACGAGCGCGGGCAGCTGGTCGGGCGGGAAGCAGGTGCCCCAGAGCTCCACGGCATCTGTCACACTAGGGCGGAGAGCTGTCAGGCGGACCGGCCGCAGAGCTGCCCGCCCGCCCCTGGACCCCGACACTCACTAAAGGCTGAAGCTGCTGGACCCAGTCTCCTCCCCCTCGCAGTAGCACACGTAGCGGGGCGGACCGGGGCCGGCCGGCAGCAGGCACAGAGGAGACAGCGACGGCGAAGGGGGCACCATGACACTTCGGCCGGGGGCGGGCCGAGATGGGTGGGGCTTAGGGCGCCTGCGCAGTGAGGAGGCGGGCAGAGGAGGGCTAGGGCGCGTGCGCGGGATGCAGGGGCGTGGTCTGATAGTGGGCGTGGCTTACCGGACACGGGCGTGGTTTGACGGAATGGGCTGGCCTTGGGTGAGGTTTGCACAGACAGGATCAGGGGACCACAGGGTCCAGTGGGATGTGGGCTCCAGCTCAAGCCACGCATGTGTTCGGGATTCATCCCTCCCGCACGCCCTTCAGCCCCCACCCAGCGGCTCTGCCCCCTTTGTGGGTCCCCCAGTCTCTGCACCCTGTTACCCACCCCTTCCCCCATATATTCCTCACTTCGTTTTTGGATAAAAAAGCAAAGTTCCTTAAAGCTTTATTATAACAAGTCAAAATACAGATGTGTATGGGAACCAGTGCAAAGAGCTTCGGGTCTCATTCATTCCTTTTGCATTTAGCCAGTGGTGCTCTGTGCCGAGGCTGGAGAGCAGAGCGCAGGCCCCCGCGTTACAGAGTGGAGTCCGACTGGAGCAGGTTTGGAGGCGGGCTCGCTTTGACTGTGAACGCTGCAGTGCACTGTGAATCTGACAGTGCAAAGAGAGGTCGATGTGTATACGAAGCTCCAGTGGGAGCTGGATGCAGGGTCACCAACAGCGTTGGTATCTCAAGGCCCAGGAAGAGACGGCTTGGCTGAGTAATTGTCTCAAAGAGGTCTAAGCTCCTACTGGCAGCGGGGACTGTGGCTTTCTGTGGACAGATGAGATTTCAGTGCATGATCCTGGATACAGAGACTCTAGGCTACCCAGTGACCAGAATGCAATCACACGTATCTTTCTATAAGGCGGCAGTGGGAGAGTTGACACAGACCCCGTGACAAAGGCTGAGATGGAGCGATGTTGCCAAGTCAGTGGATGCCAGCAGCTGCCAAAGGCTGTAAGAGGCAGAGAAAGGTTCACACCTGACGCACCTGCGAAACTGTTGCAGGGTTTTGGTCTCCGGGATCATGGGATCATGAACATAGACAGGTGTTTCTGTCCCCTTTCAACCCCTGTGTCCCTGGTAACCCTAGAGACCTTCATGTGGTTCAGGTTTCCCCAGGGTCCAGACGGGTCACAGCAAAGGCACCCTGGGTCTACCCCAGCTCTTCTGAGTGGTGGGTCCCTCAGTTCCACTCCAACCTTTTGTATCTCAAAAGAGATCTACTATTATTATATGAAACTCAATAAAATATTTTAAAAAGAAAAGAAAAAAAAGAGATCTACTTAATCTAATTCTGCAAATTGTATCCTGTCTAATTAGCATAACTGCCTTGTTGACATCATTGCTGTTGTTGCTAGGTTGCTGTGCCCGCCCACCCTCCAGCCTGCTCCCGCCCACCCTCCACCCTGCACCAGGCCCATCCTCTCAATGGCTATAAACCCACTGTTCTAATTACAGTATCACTCCATCTAGATCATTCGCGTCTCCTTCTCCGATCCTTTATCCATCCAGGGAAGATACCCATTTCCAGTGACCTGCCTCTACCAATGACATGTCCAGTGTGTCTGAGACAAATTCACAATTTTTACTTTTAAGAACACTCTTAGGCAAGAAGCTGCACTGCAATCCCAGAGGTGTGTGGTTCAAATTCACCAGATGCTTTGCTGGAGAAGGAGGAACCAACTCCTGTACCAGTCAAATCTGATTTGATGGTACACACACACACACACACACACACACACACACA